CTTTAATGAAAACAGATCTCTGATTCAAAAATAAAAGTTCTTACATAAGATGGCTGATTTCACATATTAAATTCCTGAATTAGAGTGCCCTCTATTGGAAGCAAAATGCAATAAAAGTTACATTTAAACAGCTATAATATTCTCAAAATTCAAGCCATATCACTAATAAGTAAAATATATTTTATGAGAAATATAAATGTTTAAAAAATCCTATATCTTTTTATTTTTATCTCTTCTAAAATACTTTTCAAATTGTCATAATGACCAACTTAGATATTTCATATCATCTGAAATTAAATTTTAACTGAATCAAAATGCTTGTTATATAGTCAGAAATATGAATCAAAGACAAACAAATACAGATGTAAGGTGTCACTGTATTTAACTGTTGTATTTGTCAACTTTCAATAAAGCATATAAAATGTTGATTAAAAAGACAAACAAATGTTTTCCACACTTAAAGTCCTGATATAGAAATAATTGTTATAATTTATAACTTCTGTCAAATTATTGTTTGAATTTTCTTTTATGTTAATTTATAAACCTCCCTAGTCTGAACTGAAAGTTTCTATATTCAATTTCACATTCTGAAACCCCAAATGTGGTGGCATTGTAGGGCAGCAAAAGCGGAGGTGTCAGATAATACAGCAGGCATGAATATGATTAGTGCCTGTATAAAAGAGCTTGCTTCAATTATATACTCTCAGTTATGTGAGAAAATAGTGTGAAGACATCTGCTTGCAAAACGGGAAGCAGGCCTTCACCAGAGACCAGCATTGCAGCATCCTGATCTTGCTCTTCACAGTCTCCATAACTGTAAGAAATAAATGCTACACTTGAAGCTATTCAATAATGGTAATCTGTTTTAGAATTCCAAAGTAAGATATTTCCTAATTCAAGAGACTTTCAGAAGCTCTTGTGTTGGAAAACTGGAGAAATACATTGGCCACTATGAGTTCCATGCAATTTACTCTCTCAAAGACTTCTATAATTTTGTAGCATTATTAATACTATTTTTTGTTCCAGTAGTGAACAGGACTTGTATACTGTCTCTTAGCTTTTAGCTCAAGGCTGGCACTCTGCCACTTGAGTCACAAACTCCTGCCCAATCTAGCTTCAAACTGTGATCTTCAGATCTCAGTTCTCTGAGTAGCTAGGATTACAGGCAGATATGAGCCACCAGTGCCCAGCTGAGGTTCACTATGTGTGTGCATACGTGCACAGGTGCATGTGCACGCACGCACGTGTGCATGTGCACACACACACACAGTGGACCTTGAACTCAGGGTCTAGGCTCTGTCCCTGAGTTTTCTTGAGCCACAGTTCCACTTTCAGCTTTGTATGTGTATGTGTGTGTGTCTGTCTGTCTGTGTCTGTGTCTGTCTGTGTCTGCCTGTGTGATTAATTGCAGATGAGTCATACAGATGTTCCTGCCTAAACTGGCTTCAAACCTTGCTCCTCAGATCTCAGCATCCTTAATACCTAGGATTAAAGGCATGAGCCACCAGTATTCAGCTAAAACTCTCTTTTGACTCCTCATTTTAGGCCCGAGGGAATTACTTCATTAAGATCCTGGCAGATATTTAGTTACCTAGATCAAAAGTGTACATAGGAAGCTTCTTAAGTGAGCAATGCTCAGAGCTATCTTAACTTTTTTTTTTGAGGTAGAGTCTTACTGTGGCAGAACACTGTCCTCCATATATCCTCAGACTGGCCTCAAACTCACAATCCTTCGGCATCAACCTCCCAAGTGCTAAGATTATACAAAATTACAACTATGTTTAGCTCTCAACGTGATTTTGACTTAGTTGGTGTGGTACTTGAGGTATCGTTACTTATTTTTCAGAGCCTCTCTGGTAAGTCTAACATATAATCATTATTGAGAATCATGGTTTGCACCAGTCCTAAGAATATCCAACACACATTTTTTACTTTATCTTCCAAAAATGTCACCTTCATAAGAACTTCCCTATTCAAATAGTTTTATCTCCTCTCCAAATGTAAACTTCTGACTAGTCTTCAATCTACTCATCTGCCTTTTCTGTGATGATATAGTTGAGTTAATAAGGAATATGGTTCTAGCCTCAGACTGCCAAGGTTCAGATCCTGGCTCTGATACTTACTGTGTAAACTGGAAAAGTCATCAAGGCCCTCTACCTCCATTTTCTCACCTGTAAAATGGGAGAGATAAAACTATCTATCTCAGAGGGTAATTGTGAGTCTTCTTTGAGTGTTAAGTGTTATCATTAGTTATCCAGCTTTATTTCTCACTACTTTCAAAAGCAACTCGCATAATGTCATATACTTTTCAAATTATATAATAAGTCTCTCCTTTGTGCTTTAATGGTACACACTATTTCTTCAGGCTGGAAATTTCTTTCATTCACTCTCTCATTCATTTATTCATTAATTCCTTGCAAGGGACATCTCCTTCTCCTTCAGGACCATTTTAATCCTCCCCTTCCTTCATGAAGCCTTCAATAAATACCTTATAGGTCTTCAATGACCTCTCCCTTTTTAAAAGTTCCATTGGTCACAGGGCAGCTTACTATAAGAAAGATGGCTAGGAATTTAAAATATTGTCTGAATTTGAGTCCTCACTATGTCACCTGAGTTATTTCCTAAATCTATAACTCTGTTAAGATTTCTTAATATTAGCTTAAATGATGTAAAGCATTAGGAAATACCAAGCTCCTAGTAAATATCAACTCATAATATATATTTGCTTTACACATTAGTCTTCTTTGCATGGTAATCAAAGCCTCCTTTAGGATCAGTATTTTAAACTCTTCAAAAATAATAATTATATTTCATTCTGATATTATAAACCTATAACTTAAAACATCTAGATTAGGCAATATAAAAGATCCATTAGGCTTCTTGCATATTGTGAGGAACCAATTCATAACAAAACTCTGGAAAAACATTTTTAATAAATGAAAAAAACACTCAATAAAACAGAAAATGAACACGAAGAGAAGGTTCAATGTAATTGGATTACTTCTTAAACATCTGAAAGCAAGTTTCTAACAGATTCAGTCTCTGAAAGGCCAGTTCCAATTATTTTTTTTAATTTGTCCCAAATCCTTAGATTTTTCTCATTTCCTAAAAAAATAAACACCAAAGTTCCTAGTCTGACATTCAAAATCACCCCTGGCCTGACCTAATCAATCCCTTTACTCTTATCTCTTATCTTTCCCCTTTATAAATTCAAATAAATAGAATTACTTGTCATTCATATACATGGTGCTTTTCTGCTTCATATATCCCTTAATACTTTATATAACAATAGTTCCAAAGATTTTTTATGTGAACAGAAAAAGTGTAGGAATATATGGGCTGGTATTTTAAGAACTTATTGCTTAATTTTTCATGTTAATTTCTCCCTTGGTTCTGTCACAATACAATCTTCAGTTTATATTTTTAAAAATTTTAGTCATCTCTTCCCTCTCAATGTCAGAGGCCACTGACATCACTTCCTAAAAAGCATAAGCACACATGAGGGCAATAAGATATTTACTGAGTAAAAGAAAAACAATTAGCTTCTATTTCATATTTATTCATTACCTTCCTCACTTTGAATTTCTTGTACAGTATATCTCTCATAATTTATATCATATATTATTAGTACAGTCATAGAGATATACATAATTTACAAATAAATAAATAAAGGATGTTTGCTTAAGATTTATTTATGGCATAACAACAAGAAAGGTTTAAGAAACACTGATCTAGAATATTGAGACTTTTTAAAAAAACATCCATGGGTTTAGAAGTAGAGAGCAAGAAGCAACCAATTTAGAAAAATCGTTAGGGAAAGATGTAAAAAAATTCAAAAATCATATATTATTTATGTAGGACAAACACATTTTAAATTGTAAGTCATTTTCAAGACAATATTAAAATAGAACTGATTTGGGAAGGAACACGTACATATACCTGTTTTAGGTTTTTAAATATGAAATTTTATCCTGACTACTATAAGTATTGCATTAAAATAAAATTTTCACTTTGTGAAACCTATAAGCTTTTAACTCCATTCATTGTTTAATTATTCACAACTATTCATAAAGGACTGTGTGGACAATAAGGTGGTATTTTACAAAAGACAATGCAGTAAGAAAATGAAAACAAATGAAAAAAAGTAGGAGCAGGCAGTAAGTTTAGCCATAGAACTAGATTAGTAAGTGCTATCCAAGGAAACAGTGTCACAGCTAACTTAAGTAACTATATAAAGTGATTGTTTTCAAAATGGATACTTGCTATACTCAGAAATTTTTTAGGTTTTCAATACTAATATGACATACTTTCTATTGATTTTAAGTAAAATTTAAAGCTGCTTGAACAAATTAAGTTCTAAAAGTGAGCAAAGGATTTACTTTATAAAATGTATTAATTTTAAACAGATTGATTTTCTACAGTTTTTCTTACTACTGTAATAATATAAAAATCCATGATGGGCAAGAATCTCTGATTCATATGTTAGATTCTGAGCTCATAGACAAGAACTCTCTGCATATCTGTGTATTATAAAACCATGTGGGTTGAGTTTTCCATAATTTCTCCCTCCTTCCATGATATAGTAAGTGACTAAGGAACTATACATATGATTTGGCTCTGTATGTATTTTTCAGAGAGGGGTCAGATTGAATTTACAGAGAAAGTGAGGAAAACAGACAAACAGAAGGCTTTCTTCTATATCATTTCAAGCACAGTAAAACTAAATGAACATAACCAAAGAAACTATGACTTATGTTATAGAAGGAAGTCTAAAAGTAGAAAGACAATCACAAACTGTAAGAGAATTATCAAGCATTTCTTCATCTACACATGCAGTGAGCATAAACCCTATCAGTACCAGAGAAAAGACCAACAGGGAGATTGACGTTTGACAGTGCAGAAGCTGATAATCTACTGATACACCAAATCCCATGCCACTTGAGCAAATATACTGAACTTGCAAAGACAGCTGTGTTGTCTTCATTTCCCCCCTTACTTACTACACTCTGGCTTCCATTTTTCCCAAGTTCTTCCTCTGAAATCTTGCTCAAATTATCTAAGTAGTGGTCTGATATTGTGTTGCACAAATCTTCAAAAGAATAATCCTTTTCTTGACAGAGTTTTATTTCATCAAGTAGTTTTGATAGTTCTCCTGTCACAGTTTCACCTGTAAGAAGATAATTTTTCAGATATTTCAAGAAAGAAATTGTTAAAACTTAATGTTTAAATAATTAAAATGTATTTATTATGATAGTAGAACTAAAAATACAAAAAACAAGATTAAATAATCAAATATCTCTGGTAAAACCAAGAAGTAAACTATAAATAATACAAGATATTGACACAGCAACTTTGTGTGAATTTATTATTTCTCAAAAGAGAAATGAGTATTGAAAGTTTAAATATATGTAGTAAATAAAAGCACAATGATGAATTATAATCTAGCAGTTACAACACAGATCTTCATATTCTGAATTAAAACTACACTGAAAGAGCATCTGATCTTAGATACATGCTTATTTCTGAATTTTCAACTCTGTTTTATTGATTTTGGCATCTGAGTTTATATCAATACAATCCTGGCTTGACTACTTTCTTCAACAACAGTACCAAAAACCTACCATGCAGAAAGGATAGTCTTTTCCATAAATGCTGTTGGGCCATCATGTGCATATACAGGATAATTAGACCGGGCCTTCCTACCATACACAAAAGTCAACTAAAACTGGACTAAAACTTACTGTAGGCAGGGCACTGGTGGTTCATACCTGTAATCCTAGCTACTTAGAGGCTGAGATCTAAGGATCACAGTTCAAAGCTAACCTAGGCAGGAAAGTCTTATCTCCAATACAAGTGGGATTATATCAAACTAATAAAACTTTTGGAGCCAGGCATGGTTCCTCACACTATAACCTCAGCTGCATAGGAAATAGATATAGGAAAATATCAAGTCAGGGCCAGCCCAGGAAAAAGGTCAGCAAAATCTTATCTCAACAAACAAGCCAGGTGTGCAATCCTACAATCTCAGATCATGGTCCAAATGCTGGCCCAGGGAAAAAAAACTTGAGATCTTACCTTAAAAAAAAACTAAAACAAATAGGGCTAAGGATGTAGGTCAAGTGGTAGAATGCTTGCTGAAAAAATGTAAGGCCCTGAGTTTAAAGCCTGGTACTGCCAAATATAAAATAATTAATTACTAAAAAATAAAAAAAAAGTCTTCATAGTAAAGGAAACAATCCGCACAATACAAAAGTAACTTAAGGAACGGAAAATATATATGTGGATAATAGCCGAAATGTATAAGGAGCTCTAACAACTCAATAGCAAAATAATCAAATAACTTGAACAAAAAATTAGGCTAAGGATCTAGTTATTTCTTCAAGTAAAAAAGAGAAATACTAAAAATATTCAACATCGCTAAATACTCTGGCAGATATAAATCAAAATCATAATGAGTTATGATCTCATATTTGTTCATATAGCTATTACCAAAAATATGAAAGAGGGACCTGTGGAATGGCTCACCAATGGAAGAGCACCTGTCCAGCAAGTGCAACACCAGAGTTTAAACCTCCAATTGAAAGATAAAAAGACAACAAATATCAAGTAGTTGTGAGACTATGACAAAATGGAGCCTTATACACTGTTGGTATGTAAAGTGGTACAGTCATTATGGAAAATAGTATAGAATTATTCTCAAACAATTAAATATAGAACTACTAGCAATCTCACTTCTGGATATTTATTCAAAGCAAATGAAATCAATGTTATGAAAAGAGATATCCATGCCCCATGTTCATTGAAGCATTATTCAGAATAGCCAAGAGATGAAAACAATCAGTGTGGCTGGGAAGGTAGCTCAGTGGTAGAGCGCTTGCCTTGCATGCATGAGGCCCTGGGTTCAATTCCTCAGCACCACATAAGCAAAAAGAAAAAAGCCGGAAGTGGCGCTGTGGCTCAAGTGGTAGAGTGCTAGCCTTGAGCTGAAGAGCTGAGGGACAGCGCCCAGGCACAGAGTTCAGGCCCCACAACCGGACCAAAAAAAAAAAAAAAAACACAATTTAAAAAAAAAAAAAAAGACAATTAAAAAAAAAAAGAAAACAATCAGTGTGCAATTTTGAATAAATGGATTTAAAAAAACTGTGTGTGGGTCTACTAGTGGTTAACTATGTATACATAGATATACAATATGTATATACTTTTACATATACACATGAACTATAATATAGATGATAGACTATTATTTGGTCTTTTGAAAAATACATTCTGTCATTTGAGACAATACAGAAAAAAGTGAAGTTAATTTTGTTGAGTGAAATTGGATAGATATAGGCAAATACTGTATGGATTACATTTATATGGGAAATCTAACTCACAAAATGTCCAACTCATAAAAGCAGAGTAGAATGGTGGGCACCAGGAGCCTTAGGTTAAAGAAAATAGCTACATTCTGATGGATGGGTTCCAAATTTTAGTTATAGGAGAAAGAATAACTTCTGGACATCTATACAGTTAATAACATTATATTGTATAGATAAAATTAGTTCTTACCACCAAAACAAATGGAACTATATAAAGTAATGGATATGTTAATTAGCTTAATGGTAGCAATCAATTCACAATGAATGTGTATATATATCAAAACATCACATAGTATACGTAAATACAAACAACTATTTGTCTCATTTATGTATCAATAATGCTGGAAAAACAGATTTATAAAATATGTACTCCTCATAAACTTCATATCACAGTGATTGCTATCTATTTTGCTCACTTCTTTGTCTGAGAGCCATCATGGTCTCTAAATAAAAACAATAATAATGTTTGTGTTTTGGTTTTTTGGGGTCGGTAATGTGTCTTGAACTCTGAGCCTGAGCACTGTCCCTCAGCTCTTCAGCTCAAGGCTAGTGCTCTACCACTTGAGCCACAGCACCACTTCTGGTTTTCCACTGGTTTATTGGAGGTAAGAGTTTCATGGACTTTCCTGCCCGGGCTGGCTTTGAACCACGATCCTCAGATCCCAGCCTCCTGAGCAGTTAGGATTACAGGCGTGAGCCACCAACACCTGGCAACAATAAATTTTGATTGAATAAAAATATAAAGTATAGCATGTAGGACATAACTTATTAAACTTGAAATTTCTCTAACTGTAAGTCTTCTAATGAATGCATGATAAATTTATTTACAGAAGACTAGTGACATTCCAAAGGCTTTATAGTTAGTTACTCACTTTTAGTCTTTTGGGAAGGAGACTCAACAGGAGACGAAATACGTATTTCTTGTGTTGTATCTTCCTGAACAAGTTCTCCAAGCACTGCTGATCTTCCGACACCTTCCAAATATTCTGTGTATATATGTTTTTGATATTACAGACTTAAACTTATGTTAAAATAAATACTTTATGCTTTACTTCTGATTATTTTTATTAACTCATATCTTAAATATATCCTAAATTTTTAAAAGAATTTAAAAATCAAAAGAACTTCGTGATAATCTGCTAATTTTTAATGAAAATATTATATTTCCTCAAAAAATAAATATATTGACCAGGTGTTCTGGCTCCCACCTATAATCCTAGTTATTCAGGAGATAAATATAGGAAGGATTGTAGTTCAAGGACAACCTGAAAAGTTAGAAAGATCTCATCTCAAGAAATAAGCCAGATGTGATAGAGCTTTCTTTCAATTACAAATGTTTTCATTACATTTTCAAAATGCACCAGTGATTTGAAATCTGGAAATGTAATGGAATATGTTTATATTCTGAAATGTGCCAACAATTTGAAAAATTCAAAGATGTCAGATACAAATTAACATATCTAATGAATCTTAGGCATGTCATAGTTTATTATGGTCACAGTTTACTCCTACCTAATATCATTTTCATCTACATTTTTCATCTACATATTTCAAAATGTCTAGAATTACACCATGTTCCTTTTTAGTATACAATGTTCATTTTACTTTATTTTAATTTGAATTATGTGAAAAGCCATATGTGAGTTTCTTAATACATCACTGCATACATTTAGCATGAAATTAACTTCTTTATTGACAAAAAATTCTAGGGGGCTGAAATTTCTTGAAATCTTCTGGAAATAGAGAAGAGAGCATATTGAACACTTAGCCTTTGATGGCTCATCATGTCCTGCCCCACTTGGATTTAATTCATGTATCTCCCTGCATATCAATGCTGTTCTTTAGTTCCCAACTGCTATCTACTGAAACTGTCCCATTTCCCTTCTCTGTTATTCTAGTTAATCTGTAGTAATTGCTGGACATAATCATTGGTGAAAGGTGCAATAACTACTAGAAAGGACAGAAAGAACATTGGGGGTTTTTAAGGAAACATGATATATGACAGGCTTAATTGTCAAGGAGAAAAATAAAGCATTTAAATCTACATTTTTTTCAAAGAAATTTTAAATAAATGAAAACTTTGTTCCTCTATAAATGAAAAGATAGCAGCTAGAAGGTTGTCTAATCTTCAATAAACCTAATGACTGCAACTAACTACAAATGAACTAATCTTTATCAAAAACAAAGGCTGATAAGACTGAATTGGTTATATTGTCTACTGGTTTAGGAAGAAAATAGTGTTCTTTCAACCAAAACCAATGCTGGCTGTTGTTGCTTCTAATCCAACATTCATGGACTAGCTCTGCATACAATAGATAGATGAGTTTGAGTTTAATCTCCTGGCGCTTCAGTTTCCCACATGTACAAAAAAAGGAGAATAATATCTACTTTACCTATTTTTCATTCATAGAAATCAGACAAAATAATAGAAAGAACTCTAAAATCTCTCAAAATATTATTCAAATACTTAATAAAAGTTAAAATTTAATTAATTAAAAGTTAGGATAATATTTAATCATTACCATTGTACATAGCCCTATTAATCTTAAGTTGTCACTATATATTTACTACATGGATTTTTAAAAGATTTTTAAATACCCAAGTAGTGAACAAATTTTTTTAATACTGAATAGTTACAACAAGGTGTAAAATATTTATAAAGTAGTATTCTTTAGTTATAACATGCACTAGGAGAAAATGTAAATAATGAGTCCATTAAAAAAAAAAAAACAGTAACTCAAAAGCCCAAAAAACTATGACAGTTTTAAATTAATCTTAAGTTTAAAGAAAACTTGTCCATCTTTTAATGCCATTTACCTTGTAAGAGTGTTGCAATCTGGAGAGATTTCTGAGATGGATGTTCTTTCAGGATGTCTAAGACAGTTCTACCTAAACTGTCCTTTATGTTGGCATCAATTCCTGAAAGAAAAAGAAAAACTGGATGTACCACTAGAGTGTCCTCAGATGATACTGTCAATACATAACTGCTCTAATTTCAAACATATATAGGCCAAGCACTGAAAGTGGTTTTTAAAAATTAAGTTACCAGATTTTAGAAAGAAAGTAGAACTCCATTTCTACCAAAGATTACGTGTTAACCCTTAAAGGTCACTGTCCCAGTCATTAAGCTCTATTTTCAGGACCCTATGGTTCTTTTCTGGGTTGTAGCTAGTTAACTTCATACTGTCAAACTGAAAAATATTAATTTACAAAGTTAATTCCCAAAGTGTCATGTGGTTTATGTTTTCTATACAATATGGTAAATATATTTAATAAATAATAGTCGTGTATTACATGAGTAATATAAGACTACTCAGAATACTTCAGTATTCATAAAATACATGATCTGAGCACTGGTGGCTAACGCCTATAGTCCTAGCTACTCAGGAGACTGAGACCTGAGGACTGCGGTTCAAAGCCAGCCCAGGCAGGGAAGTCCATGAGACTCTTATCTCCAATAAATTACTCAGAAAAACCTGGAAGTAGCACTGTGGCTCAAATGCCTTGAGCTCAAGGATAGTGCCCAGATCCCAAGTTCAAGGCCCAGGCAGGACCAGCAAAAAAAAAAAAAAGCATTATTATTTTCAAGTGCATGAACTAGTGTCAAAAATATTAGGTGTTTGAGGGGTGTAGGGGGTGTCAGTTGAACTCTGGGCCTGGGTGCTGTCCCTCAGCTTTTCAGCTCAAGGCGAGTGCTCTACCACTTGAGCCACAGTCCCACTTCTGGTTTTCTGGTGGTTTATTTGAGATAAGAGTCTCAGAGACTTTCCTGCCCAGGCTTGCTTAGAACCGCGATCCTCAGATCTTAGCCTCCTGAGTAGCTAGTATTACAGGTGTCAGCCACCAGCACCCAGCTCAAAATATTGTTTTCAAGTAGAAAGTCAAACATTCCATGGTACTTGTTTATGCTAAATTACATTCAATGTCAGTCACATTCATCATCCACCTGAACAAACCTTTTGAATTGTGTAATTGAAACATCTGGTTTTTTTTTTTTATCTTTGTTCAGAAGATAATTTGCTATACTAGAGAATTTAATGAAGCACATAGCTTTCACTACCCTAAAAAGAAACCTAACTTTAAACAAAGCAGTTTTATAAGATCTGGTCCCAAGTGTCAGTTCATAAGATTATTAAGTATTTGTTTAAATTTGTATCAGAATGTATGGCCAACATATATTTACTTCCACATCACTTGTTATAACACTCTACTCAGATCACAGTTAGATATACACAAAATTTTAACTTTGAGCAAACACAATCACCTAACCAAGTTTTTTTCAGTTTTCCTACAGAGAAAAATAAACACATTATAATCCATAATATAAAAAACTTAATTCTTTACAAGTATGAATTTGTACACAAGTCTACTGAATTCTTTAAAATAAAACTGATATCAATCCCAATTAAAATATATATGAAAATAAATAAGCCTACTTTGCTGTTCTGTCAAATCACATTCTCTAAAATATTAACTTTAAAATAAGCCACTGTAGCCAATAAACAATTATTTACTCAGTTGATAAAGCAGGAGAATTTACTTTAAGGAAAAGAAACTCAAATCTTTGTTTACAATAATTCACATCATAAAAATCTAAGGTAAATCATTTTCTATAATAAACCAAGCAACTGTCATAACTTCTATAGGTCAATTATTCCTTGTAGAAAGCAGAGATCTCTTTTCTTTTTGGCAGTATCTACATGTATCTAAATAAAATTTAATTGTATAAAATAGTAATTACCCAGATCTTTTTACTAAGACGTCTACTGAAAAAAGGAGAGGGCATATTTATACCAATTGTATCTAAACACCAAGGCTAACTACCACAATACTGAATACTATCTGCAATTGAAAGTAGAGAGAAGTAGGCTCATTTGTGCAAAAGACTAATTTTCCTTTATCTACTTTATTTGACAAGACTGGATCCCTGCAGAATTATTATACCTACCTGTTTCTAACAGAACTCGTACAACATCCACCTTTCCAAATAGAGCTGCTTCATGAAGGGCACTTCCCTTTTCTGTCTGAAAAAAAGAAAAAGAAAACATAGTTACATTTGGAATGCATGAAAAATTTTAATTCGTGTACCTATCTTTCAATTTATGTAGTCATACATATTTTCTGCAATCTCAGTGCACTTGAGAGAAAAGTTGTATCAAATAAAAAGAATCCAGGAACAAACTTTAGAGGCTTAGGTTTGTAAAGCACTTCTACTTCTAACTGGCCTTGTTATAGTAGGAAGCAATTCTTTTTCCCTTAATCTTGGTTGTGTTAACTTTAAAATAAATAGTAATACTTATTGCAGAAAGCTTTTATAGTGTCCAATGAATTTAATCAGTATGAATTTAGTAAACACTAATTATATCACAAGATCAGTGAAGAATGTTCTGAGGCTTATCATTCTATCCTGGCCACTGTAAATCCACATTCTCTGTGAGGGGAAAATGTGTAAATCAATATTTATGATAAATAAAATCCAAAAATTGTATTATGGCTCACAAATCTAGATGATCTCCCAGCTTTCTTCTCCATTCTCTTTCCCATATATCAAAAACTCTCCCTGACCTATGCTTAAGACATACTGATTTTATTCATATTAGTGTCATCAAATATTATAGAGGTCTTCTGCCTGGCTGTATCTAATTCCTAGATTTCTTGATCTGGACATCACTCAAATTACTAGTTCTTAATCTTCAGCATGAGTCACAATCACCTGGAGAGTTAAAAACAGGTTTCTGGGCCCCATCCCCAGAGTTTCCATTTTAGTAACCAAAGATAATTTCTATTTCTAACTAAATCCCAGATGACATTGATGGTCTAAAGAGAATAATTTGAGAACCACTGACCTATTCAGTATGTCAGATCTTAATTTAATTTCCTTAAGGAAGATTTCTTGTGCCTCTGAAGCATAGTGTTTTTCCTGTGTATATCTATCTATATATTCCTTGCCATAGCACTCATAACACCACATTACAATTCCAATTGTTTATTTCCCTTCATTACCTGTACATTCAGTGAAACTATAATTTTTAGAAAAGTACTTTGGAAAGGTAGAAGCTTAGGATCAAGCTTCTGAGAAGAGGTAAAGATTCAGGGACAGAAATAGGAACCCACAATGAAAAATAATTTGTGAGTTATGCAGATATGTTTTCTTTTATTGATTTTTATGTAATTTTTTCATGTTTATATATTAATTTTGCCGTCATAGTTCTACTTATTTTTTCGCTTGGTCTTGTTTATAATGCAGCTCAATTAAAATCTGATTTTAAAATGTAGGCATTTGTAGCTATAAACTTTCCTCTTAGTACTGCTTTTGATGTATTCTAAAGGTTCTGGCAAGTTGTGTTTTCATTTTCGTTCAATTCACTTATCCTCCTCCCCTTATTTCTTCAATGATCCGCTGGTCATTTAACAGTGTACTGCATGTTTGAATGTTTTCTGTAGTTTATTTTGCTACTGATTCCTAGTTTTATTCTACTGTGTTCTGACAAAATACAGGATATTACTTTAATTTTCTTATATTTGCTAAGACTGTGTGTCTTCAGATATGTTCTATTTTGATAAAAGTTCTAAGGGCCTCTGAGAATGTTTATTCTGTAGCAATTGGGTAGAATACTCTTTAGGTGTTCAAGTCTTTAAATTCAATGTTTACAGATGTCCTCTAATTTCATTGCTCATTCTTATCATCACTCTTTTTCATTGAGGTTTCACCCACTTCACTATCATTCAGGTCCTTTGGAGGAGACATATTGTCTTATCTTTCACTTGCATTTCTAAGTTGGGATCAATACATTTGAGGCCAAGTTTTTGGTTATAGATTTTAATCTCCTGTATCCCTTCAGGCGAAATATTCACAGTGTTTTTGTAAGACCATATGTGGCTGTTAGGTTGTGATGGATTTTCTCAACAATAGACTGAGGAGTTATAGCTCAAATATTTGCTCATAGCAATCAAAACACTAGGTCCAGATCCTTGACTCCGTAAGGACTACAGAAGCAATCACAGTTGATAGATACAATGACAGTAGAAAATACAATAATCTAATTAACAACAATCACAATCACTGCTCCAATATCTTTAGAGAAATAAAGGTGCAAATATACTATTTTGTAAGCTAGGATGCCACTAGTTAAATAATGATGGTAATGCAAATAATATAGGAAGGATAATGCAATGAAAAGTACAATATATATGGTATAATAAAAAGGATAGAGCCAGGCAATGGAGACTCACAGCTGTCACCCTAGCTACTCAAGTAGTTGAGATCTGAGAATAGCAGTTTGAAGCCAGCCAGGTCAAAAAAAAAAAAAAGTCTATGAATTTTTTTATCACTCCTAGGTCTTGAACTCAGGGCCTGTGTACTGTCCCTGAGCTTTTTTATTCAAGGCTAGCACTCTACCACTTTGAACCACAACTCTACTTTCAGTTTTCTGGAGGTTAACTGGAGTTAAGAGTCTCATGAACTTTCTTGCCTGAACTGGCTTTAAGACGTGATCCACAGATCTCAGACTCCTGAGTAGCTAGGATTACAAATATGAGCCACCTGTGCCTGGCTCAAGTCCATGAAATTCTTATCTCTAATTAACCAGCAAAAAACTAGAAGTGCAGAGTGCCAGCATTGAGTTGAAAAAACTAAGTGAGAGTGCAAGGCCCTGAGTTCAAATTCCAGCAGCACATACAGAGAGAGACAGAGAGAGAGAGAGAGAGAGAGAGTAGGAGGAGGAAGAAGAGGAAGAAGGAGGAAGAAGAGGAGAAGAAGGAGAAGGAAGAGGAGGGGGAGGAGAGGGTGGGATTAGGGATGGCTGACAAAAATAAGGCAAGATTGTAAGAAAGAAGGAAATTTTAAAAAGTTATAGCTAAAATATAGTGGGAAAGAAAGACAAAAGAAAAAAGAGAAAGATCTAGCAAAAAGGAAATTGAGTGAACTAATCTAGTTGTAGACATAAAAAAACAGTAAAAATGGGGAAGTACTATAGGACAAAATAGATTATTAAATTGAGTATTGGAGCCAGGCATGAGTGATTCATGCCTATAATTTTAGCTGTTCAGGACACAAAAAGTTAGTTAGATCTCATCTCAATCAACAAGTCAGGTAAGATGGTATGTACTTGTAACTCCAGATACACAGAATTACATTGGAAATAGGTAGGAGGTTTGTAATGTGAGGCTGGACTTGAGGAAAAATGTAAAACCATATCTGAAAAATAACTAAAGCAAAAAAGGTCTAGGGCAACGTTGAAGTGATACAGTGCCTGCTATCAACTCTAAGGCCCTACCTCAAATTCCAGCACCACCAAAACATAAAATAAAAAGTTTAAATCTAAGGTTGATTTTCAGTTATTCAAGAAGTAATCACAAAGTAAAGCAATAAATAAATGGGATAATTTTATCAGATGAGCATAAAAGCTCAAAAGCTATGTACATATGACCATATAAGATGATGCTATGTACATATGATCATATAAGATGATGCTAAGTACAATGAGATGTACAAGACGCTATGTTGAAAAACAAACTTTACAATTTAGGGGGGTAGGGGGGCCGGGGGGCATACAGGGAGTGTAGTTGTGGAGATGGGAGGGAAGGGTTGGTAAGGGAAAAACAAAGGAGAATGCAACAATGCTTGATAAGAAATGTACTCATTACCTTGCTCGTGTAATTGTAACCCCCTCTGTACAGTATTTTCACAACAAAAAATATTTTTAAAGATGATGCTAAGTGAAATGAACTCCAAGATATAGACAAAAGAGGTCTTCCTTGGTTGTTGTTTTTTAATGTACTATGTGATTTTTTTTTTTGTTTCCTTTATATGCTCTTCCTCTAATGGTATATCCCCTGTTGTTACAGTACTTGATTTTGGTATCCTTCATCTTGTAAAGTGAATAACAAAATGCTGAAACAAGGACACAGGATGACCCATTGCAACAACAATACTCACAAGACTATATTGGAAATGAACTTTACAATTTCGGGGGTGGGGGAGGGCAGAGGGGGAGAAGAGTAAGGGAGGTGGGGGAAGGAGAGGGATAGTGGGAGAACAACAAAGGAAGAAGTAACAATGCTAGACAAGAAATGTACTCTATTGTCTTCCTCATGTAAATGTAACCCCTCTGTACAGCATCTTTACAATAAAATAAAATTTTTAAAAATAAAAACTGGAATCAGAGAAAACTGATGGTACAAGGCAATGTGATATGAGGAAGAAGTTTTTAAGATGGTAAATATTACAGTATTTTTTTGTGTACTTGTGTAAAAAATACATTTAGAAAGGAAAAATGGGATCTTAAAGACAAACAAAATATTGCAAAGATATAAGGAGAGAATAAATACCATGTGCAAAGTAGCAGAACTGGCCTTGTTATAAACCTAGAAGTTTCATTTAAAAAGTAGGAAAGAAAATAGATGCAAATACATTGGTAAAATATGGTGATAAAAATCACTATTTGCCTGTTTTAAAAGTAAAGTCATGTCCTTGTTTGTAAATAAAGTTTTAGCAAGGCACCAATGGCTTATACCTGCAATTCTAGCTACTCAGGAGTCTGAGATCTAAGTTTGAAGCCAGCCTGGGCAGGAAATTCCACAAGACTCTTATCTTCAATTAATAACAGAAAAATCACTGTGTCTCATGTGGTAGAGTGCTAGCCTTGAGCAAAAGGAACCCTAGGACAGTGCCCAGGCCCAGAGTTCAAGCACTAACCAGCAAAAAAAAAAAAAAAATGTGTGTGTGTGTGTGTGTGTGTGTGTGTGTGTGTATGTATGTATGTATGTATATATGCACCTCAGTCTTTATTTTTACTACAAAGGGTAAGTTGTATAGTACCAGAAAAGAAATATAGCCAACAATTCAAATGTTTGTGCTATATGGCACTCTTAAGAACAAAATTCCCAACTCTGTTGCACAGAGAATTAAAATACTGAGTAAGGTACATGATTGCATCTTTGTTGCAAATCAATGAACTGTGTATGTGTCAATCCACTTTGGTGCTTGCTACAGTATCCTGTTGCTCTAAATGCCTGTAATAAT